AAAAAAAAATATTACAGGAGAACAAGAAAGGGAAAATGGACCACATTTTCTTTTAAAATAGTTGATTTCTATTAATTTCCAAAACCACATGGACCATGCCATTAAAAAAAGTTGATTTCAAAGACACTAACATTTCAAAGACACTAACATTTCAGTATTAACATTTTAGGTAAAATTGTTAGTTTTATTAGTTAATTAGTTAAGTTAGTTAATCAATTATGCTTTTTCCTCCTCCAAACAAATCAAGAAATTGAAAATTCACAAATATGTGAAATACTCAAGTAAATGTTACTCACACAACCTTCCTTCCAAATGAAGATTATCTCCTTGTGAATAGGGTGAAACTTGCACTCAAATCAAAAGCACTTTTATAATTCAGTGAATGCGCAAACTGGGTCAGTGAGGTAGAAATATTAGTCAGGAAAAGCTAACACAGAATTCAAAGCAGAACTATTTGAAAATACGTCATTCAGTGGGATTTACTTCCTCATAAGTATGCAGAAAAAGATAAACTGAACCTATGAACATGGAAGAGAAGGGAAAAAAGCGTACAGGAAGGAAAGATCCATAAAACAACAAAGTAATATTTAACATGCTCAGATTTTAAAAATAAATTTATTGTTTATTCTAATTCAAATATTTTTAAAACGTTCTCTTAGTTTATTGGCAACGGAGACTTTAATAGTATTGACTAAAATCTTGATACTTTTATTGCTCTAGAAAATGTCTCTCGCTTTGTTAAGATTAATGGTGGATTTGTTCCATGAAAACAATAAACTTCTGTATATTGAAATTATTATTTTGTAAATCAATTAATTATTGTATTTGTGAAAAGACGTATATTCTCCAGCTATTTATTTTTCTTTCATGATCTCCATAAATAAATATGAAATAAATGCTCCAATGCTCAATACATTTAAGGGACTAATGTTTAGGAATGACTAGAAAACTGAAGTTTTTGCTAGACTTCTTCTCAGCAACTGACAATTATAGTCAGGTGAGGAAGGGAAGGGTGTGTGTCTTTCTTTGAGTTAAAATGTCTTTCTATCTGACTTTCTAAAATATATTTAAAAGTCCAAAATAAATTCGAAATTGTACATATAGAGGAAGGAATGATTTTATTGTATTTTGTTTCCAAATATGCTCTTAGTGTATCAATGTGTTAATGTGTGTTAATGTATTAAAACAGTTGCCTTATTCTTTACGTCAAGAGCATTAGAAAATATAAGAAATAATATACAGACTTTGCTATGTAGAATCATGCTTAGATTTGCACCATACAGTCCAAATTACTGTAATAGAAACATTAAGAGATCTATGACCTTCATTTCGACTGAGACAAATACTTACGCTTACAAATACTTTATATACTATCTGAAAGGCAAGAGCCATAGAGCACAACCCAATCTTTGCTCAGGCAACAATGTTTTTTATATTCCTTTTTATGTTCCTGTTTCCAAAGTCTTAGAGCCTACTTTCACATGTGCAGGACACCTCATTTCAGTGTCATCAATCATTGTCAATTATCTTGCAGCCTAAATGACACTTCAATCTAATACCCTAAAAAGGACCACACGCAGCTAGTGACTATTGCATAATAATTGTAAGGCAAATAAAGGTGTAGCTGTTTTTAAAAAGAAAAGGAAAAAAAAAGAGACGTAGCTCTGTGCAAGGGATAAGAAAATATTTAGGTAGGATGAGATTTCTTTTCCCAGCCAGAAAGCACCTCCAATAATTATTTAACTTCTGATAACTGAATAGTAACAGCACTTTCAATAGAAAGAAGTTCTTTCTGGTGAGGATAACAATAATTGACAAGGAATCACAGAGGTTTGCTTGTTTGCTGAAATCAGACTGTATTTCAATGAAATTAAAAACATGGAACATTTTCAAAATACACTTTAAAAAAAAGACTTTTCACCTGCCATCCTTTACTCGGTACTTGCTAACTGATTATCTGATTGGCCTCCAATGAATAATACTTTGTGTAGACCAATGCAGTATCTCTTTTAGAATGTTACTGAATGATACTTTATGCATACATAAAAGCTACATCTTGGAAGTAGTTTTCAAGACTGACCACGCACATTCTAAGAAATTCATAACCACCAAAATGAATGATAAGCATAGGAAAATCAGGGGACTCGAACATACAGTAGAACATAAAGTCTTTTTAACCCCTCTTTTGGCACTGCCCAAGAAAGCTGTGCCTCCCTTTCATCTTTGCTTACCTTCTCTGGAGAGATGTTTGAAAGCCACAGTGGAAGCCAGTTCTGTACCATGAACAGCTACTCCAGGCCCGTGGTGATGAGCCAAGGGGTTACCTTGGGTCTGCCAGTGGTGATGAGATGGACTTAGGTAGCTCCCTCCAGGCCCTCCATAAACGCCAGGTTGGTTTGATGATGGATATGCACAAGGGGACAGGAAAGGACTCACAGCCGAGAGCCCAGGAGGGGGCTGCAAAGAGGGGAAAAAATCCATGTGGAAAAATGGGGAGCTTTAGGAAGAGAGGTCATACTTCAGCATGGATTTGCCATTCCTGTTCTGATTCTAATTACATGAATGGGGAAGTAAATTAAATTATCTTTTCAAGTTCACTTCGCTTCCAAATAAGGATCTAGAGAATGAAATTAAATTGAAGAGGAATGCGAAAAACCTGCACAGCAATTCTTGATCTCAGTTCATGCAGTTCATGATCTCAGTTTGAATAATCACGGAAGCTGGTGCATGGAAATATATAGATTATTATCCCCCCCCCAAAAAAAGGGTAAGTTTTACGAAATTACAAAGATAAATATATCAATAACAATAACCAGAAGCTGCTGTAGGAGCGTGCCTGTTTCATTCCCCTCTTTGGCTTACCAAGCAGAGGCCCCAATGCTTGCCAGACTATAATTTACAATGTTTTTAATCTGATACCTGGTATTAGGAGTAATCATTGCTGTAATCGCATTAAGTGCATACATATAATTTCAATTCAAAGCAGGTGAAATTAGTCTGTTGGGCCCCTCGCCCATTGCTTTTTGAAAGCAGCCAGCAGCCCTTGAGGGACAACGCTGTGCATGTTCTGGGTGTAAGGACAGAAATCAAGCAGGGCTCCATTCCCTCCACTTCAGCCTGGTGCCATCGGCGTGCCAGTCCCTAATATGAGTTTGCTTTAAAAGGAGAACTAGATTAGAATAATCTTGTGGTGGGGTCCATCTCATCACAACTTGTTTCGTTTCCCGGAATCTTGGCTCGATAACTTTACTGCTATTTCAGAAACATAGTTTTCCTATACGATACAGATCTTGCAAGATAATCCCTGCTTTGCTTCTCCTTTTTCCTTCCCCACCCCACCCCCCCACTTCCTGGCCACAGACACAGCCCTGTGCAGCCCTTCCTGCTATTGAATTCCCAAGGGGCTGGACTGTTACCTGGGGATATTTAATGTCTGCTTCTGCTGCTGATTTGTCAAGTGCATTGACCCCATGCCCGGCGGAAGGGAAGGTGGTTCTATTCACACTTGGCCAGTCTTCGAGTTTGGGAGGATAGGCAGAACCATCTGTCCCAGCTAGAACACCTAAGGTGGGAGAGATTGGGGGATATATTAGCAGCCAGAAAAGTGATGGCCTGTCCCAAGACCCACTGGCTCCCTTATGTGAATCCCACACCTACTTCCTGGATGATAACTCACCTTTTCAGAGATCTCTGTTAAGCTCTATGAAGTCTCTAGAGGTCAATGAAAATAACCCATTAGGCTCCAGGGACATTGTCTTAGCCTCACATCAAATCAGAGTGATGTGGGCTTTTTAAGGATGCAGGTAAAGGGGAATCTCATGCCAAATTGCAGAGGAAAAGATAACATCAAGCCTTTGCTTTATTAGAGAACTGGAAGGTGGTTCAATGGTGATCTCTTCCTTCCCTCCACCCTACTCCACCCCCCCAGTGTTTGCTTCCCTTCTCAATTTTCCCTGAAGCTAAAGGGTTTAATGTTCCCTAAGGCTAAAAGATTTGTATAAGAAGGGTTTTTATTTTGCCCACACTGCAATGCCCTAGCCTTGTATAAGAAGCTAGCAATAAATTCAAAACAGATTTATTTATGAAAGACTAATTCCCAGCATCACTGCAGATTCTGTTTGGGTGGGAAGCATTTCAAGAAAACACATCAGTGGATGGAGGGGAAACTGAACTTTCAGAAGACACTTAGGGTCACAAATGTCTTATGACTAAACTACAATATTGAATCGGATCTGCACAGTAGGTAAAACTCAAGGTTGGAAATGAGAGAGGAGACAGTTAAAACTGGAAACAGCTTTGGCCAGCATTTCATTTAAAACATACTTATCCATCTCCATGCCTATTTCATTACATGAACCAGGGTTTTTGGCTCTCATATCATTTAGAAGACTCTCAAGAGAGTGTTATAAATGGAAGACAGGATTATAGTGAATTAGATACAAAGATCAGAAATATCCAAGGGCTTTTGGAGTGAAATTGGGAAGGAGTCTGTGTTTGGCATCTTTTAAATAGAGTTTCGGCATAGTTAGAATTAATTTATAGGAGAAACTGGTACTGTCTAACCTTTCTTTCTTTCTTTCTTTCTTTCTGTCTGTCTGTCTGTCTGTCTGTCTGTCTGTCTTTCTTTCTTTCTTTCTTTCTTTCTTTCTTTCTTTCTTTCTTTCTTTCTTTCTTTCTTTGCAAACTAAGGCTAAGCCATGTGAATATGTCCATTAAATTGATTTTCTTTTATTGCTCTGGCTGAGGACGATGGAACTAATTGCAACACATCCAGATACTACTGGGAATACCAGAATCAAAGAGCTGATGCTATAATCTCTAGTATCTTTATTTATTGATTAGCCCTTGGGGCATGAATAAGGATACCTGAGAATCTGCAATCTAAAACATGGATGGCACTTTTGAAAACATTTCACAATTATCTATTAAAAGATGGGTTATTGAGTTGTAAAGAACTTTCAAGCGTCTCTCACTGGTTTCATTTTGGAGCCGCAAAGTGGAACATTTTCTCCTTCACAAACTCAACAATTAAATTAAATTAAATGGCAACTTAAGGTTTCCTAGTAACAAAACAATGTAGATAAAACTACAGTCTAAAAATAGAAGAGCAGCCTCCTCTCTTTAAGAAAGAGTTTGTGGATAATTGGGATCTCAGCAATTGTAGAATCCACGAGAAGACAGAAATATGGAATGTAAAACAACTGAAAGACAAGTCACAGTATAAGAAGTGGAAAAGAAATCCTCTGTCAGATATTTGATCTTTCAGAAAATAATTGTGATATGAATTTGTTTCTTGAGACCACTTTTTTCTTTTCTTTCTATTTTTCTAAAGGGAGAGGGGAGTGTAAGGGCTCGGAGTTTGTGGTTGGCAATCTCTCATCGCTACGAAAATATTTTCCACATTTTTTCATAAGAAGTTCAAGATGTCCAGGCCTTTTTTGCAACAGCAGCCAGAGTTCTGTCTGCTGAATTTTGTCCTTCCAGGTTGTTATAACAGCAGCAAAAGCTCCCAGGAAGCAATGAGGCATTAAGCAAGGAGCAACTATGAAGATGTGGTGTGAGAGCCACTTATGAAGCCCTACTTGATTTTGAAGCTCTTATAGAGGACTGGATCATCTTCCACACCAGGCCTGCTTGGCCCAGGGAAGATGTCCTCTTACGGGGGAAGCAACAGAGACACATAAAGGGCTGTCTTTTAGAATGGCCTGGAGAAGCCGGTCATTGCAAGCTGCCCGGTTTTTCTTAAGGGCAAACTAAGTAAAATATGTTCTTAAATTTGGTGTGCATATCAAAGGCATACATAATTTTGTTTAGAGCAGAAATGAATAACAAAACTACTAAGAAATATATAAAATATAATCGTGTCTAATGCTGGCTTATTTTAGAATGAATATATTCAAAACTGATTTGTTAAGACTTCCTGAGAATTACAAAACGTGAAGTCAGATGCACTTGAAATGTCTCTTAGTTATAAGCCAGATCTTTTCTTCTGCCTGCAGTGGTGATTGATGTCTTATAATAAAACCTATGAACTTAGAATAAAGGTTTCACAGTATGCATGGCCTGTGGGCATGCTCTAGGAAAACATAATATTAATCAGAGGTATTCCTCAAATTTCTTGAGTAAATTTCATTTGCCTTATAAGTGACACTTAAGTTTCTATGAGTGATAAATATACAGCCTTGGTGGGATTTTCAGGAGTTAAATTAAATAATTAGCCACCACATAGTTGGGAATAAACTCACAGCTGGGAATTGTGCACATGCATAAGACAAATAGAAACACACATTGTTTATAGTAATAAACAGTATTTTCAGAGCTACGGGATTTAAATATAAAATTAAAGCAAGAAAACGAAATAAGGATATCCCAGATTTCTATAAAACCCGTCCTCTTTTTTTAAATTGAAAATACATTCACAAAACAGATCTACCCTGGAAAGTAGTCGTTTTACCTCCCCTAAATCATAACTCTGCAAATCAGGGATTGCTTTTTTTTGCAGTCTATAAATCGCCACGCAAACTGATGGCGGGTATTAATGAGCCTGATAGAGACAGCAACTCTTGGCGGGTATTAATGAGCCTGACAGAGACAGCAACTCTGTCCTTTCGGCTGCTGGAAGGGTTGCTTCTACCTGGAGCCCCGTTTCCTACCCGGAGGCCCAGGACGGTCGGGTCAGGTACTACTCACCGCTTTGCTCCATGAAGGTGCGGATGCCTAGGATGTTGCTGACCGAGTGCGCGGAAGGCCAGGAGCGGGGGAGGTTGACGTGGGCCGCGGAGACGGGAGCTCCTCCGGCGTGGCTGCCCATCTTAGTGCCGGAGGCTGAGACGGCGCTGGGGTAAGGGTACTGGTAGATGTGGTTGTAGGGTAAGGCCGGCTGCGGGGCAGATTGTTTGCTGCTGCCGCCGCCGCTGCCACCACTCGCGTCGTAGGGCGCGCCGGGCTGCGAAAGGCTGCCGATCTTGTTCCTCAGGATCCGGCTAATGGAGCTCACCGAAGGCACGTTGTACTTGTCGCAGACGCCGTCGGCCAGCAAGCGGTCCCGGATCTCCCAGGCGAAGATCCCCGGGTCGCCCTGCTTGTAGTCTCGGATGTGCTTCACCACGTTGGGGGTGGTGACTCGCGGTTTGCTCCCCCCGATGGCGCCGGGCAGGATGGAGCCGGTCTCGTTGTACCGGGCTAAAATCTTGCTCACGCAGCCGTGAGACACCCGCAGCTGCCGGCTGATGTCGCAAGGTCGGATGCCGAGCTGGGCCAGCTCCACGATCCGCAGGCGGATGGCGTTGGGCAGCGGCCTCCCGTTGACAAAGACGCCGCCGAGTTGGTTCACTTCGCCGTAGGTTTGCTCTGGAAAGAGCCGGAAAAAGAAGGGGAGCGGGAGCTGACTAAGGGGCTTGCGACCGAGGGAAGGAGGCAGCGCTGCAGGGGGACGGTGGGCCGAGAGAGATGGGGAGGAGGGTGCCGGGGGCTCTTACTACGCCTAGGTTCAGCGAACGGATCTAGAGACTCGCCTAGGGCTACGGGAATGGACTGAACAATCAGTTATCTGAATTAGCATAGATAGATACATATCCCATTAGTTACACCTTATAATATAGCGGTGTGGTTGAGTGTGTGTGTATACACACACATATATGATGTAACTCATGGAGTGTGTGTGTCTGTGTATTCGTGCGCTAATAAATATATATATAACAAAGGCAACAGTAAAAATATTGGGTTTCTGTCATGATGGACTCTTGTGACGAGCCGAAGGACAGATGATGGAAGCAGTTAGC